ATCAGATGGAAGTCATGAAAGACTACGTATAAATGTATCATAGTGCAGTCTGCTACAGCCTTCAAAAAATAGGAAACGCTGCTGAAAAACAGCTATAAAGAATGTTCTCTTTCTATAGAGCTAGTGAAGGCTAAAGAAGAGAACGGACTGTTGAGCCCTGTTCCTACACAACTCCTCTCCTGTAATGAGAACGAATGGTTCATGATTTAGCCTGTGAAATTTGGGGTCTCTGGGTGTGCAGGTAAGTCACTTAGGTCTTTGTATGTCTCCATACTTCACCAGGAAAACAGGCACACAGAAGTACCTTTCTAGTCCGGGAAACATAACAAACAGACACATAAATAACAGCAGGGTGAAAAGAACATGAGAAAGGAGCAAATACTGCCAAGCCCCACAGCTCCAACAGAGGAGGAGGTGGAGCTGAGCACCCACAGTAGTATTCTCTGGAAGTAACAGAGTGTATCAGCTGCCAGAACATTTTGCTATGGCTTTGACTGCATCACAGATCGAAGCGAGAGATGATCTGGCACTATATAACGGGAAATACCTATTAATAGTAAGAATTATTTAAATGGAGGCTTTAATATTAAAGAACAGGTCTCACTGTAAATTGTTTCAAGGGGTAGTTTCAAATCAACGATACATGAAATAAGCTTCTTCACTACAAACAGTTTAAAAATCTATTCTGAAAAACATTAATACAAATAACAGTAGAAATCCATGATAACAAACATTTACTCCTCTCAGCCAAATCCAACGAATTCTAACAATTTTGATAAGATTTTTTAATTTCAATTTTTAATCAGTCTTTAAAAAAACACTTTTGTATGGATATTAATATCTTCCTCAAAACTGCCTGAACTTGTCACAGATAGGGAAAACTGACGTTAAACTCTGAAAATATTTCTCAGAAATTTGGAGGTGTTCCATAACTTGAGCACTACATAATGCCTCGCCCATCCTACTGCTTACATAGAAAGTCACAACAGTTGCCTTTGACTCAAGCCATCACACAGCCTTTTCTGTCCAAAACAGCTCATTTGTACCAACAATTTTATCCCAAATAATGCCAAATCCATCAGCTACAATTGCAGAAACAACTTCCAGTAGAACTGACTTCAAGATAAACCACAGGCACAAAAGATCGTAGTCCCGTTTAACTAAGAACCACTTCGCCTTTCTGTATGTATTACTGTGACTATTTACAAAAATAATTAACACGAACATAATAATGTTTTCTTGAGGCAAAGAGAAGTGTATGTGTTGCATAAGTTCCTACTGAATTTTTTTTATTTTAGAAGGCATATGTTGGTTTTCTCACCTATCAGTGCACTTCAGCTTCTGCATGAAAAAACTTATATTTTGAAATGTGGATGTATTTTAAGATTTAGAAATACTTAAGTCTGTACAATGCTGTCCAGTGTAAATCACTTCAAAATTTATACCAGGTTAAGAGATTATCTGTATTTTTACTTTCATCTTTATACATTTCGGAACGGTTAGTAGAATTTATATCAGTTTACACATAGTATTTATATGTCATCTCAGTCACACAGAGCACAAAACACCAAATGGAGTAACCTGGTCTTTAAAGTATTAGCAAATCTGAGGTTACTTCATAACTAGGAATTATACAGGACAGTCCTTGATTCTGGCCACACTGCAGTTTTCTGCTCTCTCAGTTACACCAAGAAACGGAAATGAATGGTAATATTTAACTAATTCTAATTAATTCTAATCTGGATTCTCCAGTGGCCACAAAAAAAAGTTGTAGCTGTATAACCAAGTAAGAGCAAAAAAATACTTATTACAGAACTACACACTAAAAGGCTGTAAAATTAAGGAACCTTTTTGCTCTGAAAGGCTGTATCAATGCATTTAGATTTTCTTCTTGAAGATCTAGCTAGAGAAAGAGCGGAACGCGAGTTAGGTTAAAACACCCTTTGGGTGAAAATCACCTTGTCCAAATGACAGCTTGAGAGGACATCTGCCTCCTTCCTCCAAGTCTTCTGTGTCACATCCACTTAGACAAATTTGCAAACTATTTATATAAGCAGCAATGAGCATACAGAAGTAGATGTATCAAGAAAAAAATCATTACTTGGCAAAAACAGTTAATTGAACATCAATGTCGTGGAACCCAGCGGGGATGAAGCTATCCCCCCACCTTCTACCATGGCAATAGAGTTGTAATATGTGAAAGGGATATTTCAATATACTTAAACATTGGAAAAAATATTTTACAAGTATTACAGTAACTCTGTGTCACTAGTTTAGAAACATTGGTTATTTAAATGACAGTTTTGGTGCATTTAACCACATACTGTTATTCACATATTTGCAGTTTCAGTAAAAAAGAAATATAACACAAAACTAAATTTTTATTGTATTTGTTGAAGGGGAAGTCTTTCATGACAAAAAGCAAAAGGCTATCAGTATACTGAGGCATCTATGTTACTGCTAAGCATGGTCTACTCCTTATCCACTCATTTTTTAATTAATGGCTGTAGACCTGTATGCTCTCACCGGCTGAGCTGAAGCAATTTAAGAAGGTGTAACTTCGCACTGTTAGCTACAGCCCTTAAACACAGACCAATTCACTGACAATAGTATCCACGTGGGTTTCTCATCCTTTTTCCACAGCTAATAAAACATGTTAGCTTACATTGTCTTAAGTGGTAATTTAAACTAACCTCCCTTAGTATATCTTCAAGCACACTGGTAGAGGGGAGGGTGATGATGGGATATTTAGGTGGCTCTTCGCCCATTCACAGGAAAGCACCTGTCCATATTACAAAGGACTTTTTTCTGGTCAGATGACAGATATTAAAGAAACTTTAGTCAAATGCTGAAAGAATGGATTAGAAAAGTCTCATCAGACATCTCCACGAGCTTCACTTCATAAAATACAGTAAATGTATGTAAATTTTATACTTTGGTTATAGTGAAACTGAAATTATTAGAAGAATCCTTATATGGTATGAAATTTAAGTTTGTCAACTATAGAAAGCAACAGAGTTGTTTTACGCTATATTCCATGCAGTGTCACTGCCACTGCAAGCAAGGCCAAAAATAATCAGACTTGTGGTACCACTGCAGAAAGCCTCCAAACCAGCCCTAGGCAAGTCACTTCAAAAACACCAGAAACTCTGAAGCTTTGTGGCAAATACATGAGAATTTTTAAGAGACTCCTACACAAATAATTTGTTTTCTATCATGGTATTCAAAATACAGTACATTAACACAAATTCATTTTTCAACCTCAGAATACAAAAAATGAAGTATTGGGAAAAACAATTTATCACAATCAGCAGATACAATAGCAAATCTAACTTATGATTTCTTAAAATGTAATTAATAGTACATATAAAGTCATCACAGACTAAAGATTTTTCGCTTGTAAATAAAACTTGTTCCCACCTGTCCACTTCTTTGTTTTTGCAGATTTATATACAGGTTACTCATTTTTACCAAATTTAAACTGTAAAATTGCTGAGCAGTAAAAAAAGCACAAAGTTGTGACACTTGTATACATGTACCAATGAAGATAGAGCAACACCACCTGCAAAAATCATTGTAAATATGATTCAGTTTGACAAAGTAATGCTTAAATAGATGATGTATTTGTAAGATATAGTGATAAAAGCCTAGCTGCAGGTTCTAGAGCAATGTGGTTGCCAAACAGGAAAGGGATGTTGGTTCGCTAACATTCCTTGAGGGCTGGTTGTCCACGCACAAGTTATAGATTTTCACTAGTGATGGGAAATGTCCTGATATGTCAGAAATACTGTCATTCTAAATATACACGACACTACGTGACCTTATTTTTGCACTACTGATTTATCACTGATGGAAATTCTGACCAGTATGTTGCCTTTTCATGGCTCTGTGTTCACCTCCACAGTCATCCTCTTAAATGCTGGAGTGGGTCTGGTTGCCCTGCCCAGTAATTCTCCAGTATCTTTCACTCTTGTGTAAATTGACTTCACAGATGCTGTATATATGCCCTTGAAAGGGAATGCTACTTCTAAACTTACCTTCATTCCATCAGTCTCCAGCACAGCACTATGATAGTTTGTCATAGTTATATGGTTTACTGCAACATCACCCTTGCACAAAGTTAATAAACACATCATCTTCCATAACATTCATCATAACCAAAAAACAAAACAGCATTTTTCCATGAGTACCCGTTAGACTGTTCAGTGGATAAAAAGGACAAGTGTTTTACAGATGGGTCAAATGAGCAAACTAACACAAACTCATGGGAACAGAACAAAAAATTGCAGCCTCAAGTGATCTCTTGCACAATCCAATGTTCAGTTCTACAACCTCTACTTGCCTTCTAGAGTCAAACAGGTAAAGAATAAACCCTGTATTTCACAATTTTCTGGAAATCTGCACACCATAAGTATCAGGACTACCTGATTCCTCCTGCTTTTTTACTTTCCTCTCTCTTAGGGTGGCCTCATGCAAAATACAATATTCTTACACTCGACAAGCTCAACACTTTGCTTTTTCTCATGCTGAAATGTCACTCTCTACTTCGGCTCCAAGCTCAACCAGATTTTCCAGCTTCTAATAGGACTGTCAGGAGGACATCCATTATAGCATGGAGCCTCCACGTCCAAAAAGATAGACGTTAATTGCCACACTACCTTGATTATAGAGATGTTTACAGAATGAAATTAACAACAAAGTAAGATACTACTTCTTGGAAGAAAATCCATATGAAAAAATCAATTAACTGCTACAAATGAAAACAAGCTAATAATTCACAAAAGCGCCTTGAAAGGAACATTACACATAGTAAGTGGCAGATATGGAATTACATGAATAGGTAGGCTAAAACAAAACAATCTTCACTGAAAAAGTTAAGCTTTTTTTTCAGCTTTCAGAAGAGACAGCAAGTATTTCTCATATTGATCAGCAACAGCCTTCAGTTTGTTGCTCCTTTCTTTCTCTTTTAACAAATCTCTCTATTGAAAATGATGCCTTACCTTTGTTCATATCAATCAACTGCTGCTTCTTCTTCTGTCGCTCCAGTTTCTCTCGTTCTGCCTTCTCTTTTGCCAATTTGGCTCTCTTCGTTTTCTCCTCCAGTTCTCTTCTTTTGTTGTTTTCTTTTAACGCCTCCTGCATTAGATAAAATGAACATGAGTGTCTATATACTGAGGAAAAATGGAAAGAATAACAAAAATAACCTTGTTTGTACAGATATAGTATTTATGTCCAATGAGAGTAGAAAAAAAAACAGGGACTGGCAAACAATATTTCAAGCATCTTCAGCAAATCTTAGAGGGAACATAACTTATCATATTATTTTTACACATTAGCATTATTAGATAATCAGAAGAATGAAAATTGACATAGCTTTGCATCTATGGTGAATGAAAAAGTTCCAAATTTTTCAGCAGCAACATGTTTATATTTTTTCTATTAAGACTGCAAGCCCAGCTTAAACATGTATTTTGCAGTCAGGAGGGATGAAGCCATGTTCCCCCTACAAGGCACTTCAAGTAATGGAAACTTAGTTACTAAAATTTAAGCTACGATTCCTCAGCTATTTTTGTTGAAATATCCAAAGCAGTCTGGATCACTTAAATACACAAAACACATGAAATGTAATGGAAAACAGTTGAATTTATAGATTAAAACTCCAAATCTAAAGTCTCTGAGTCAATGGGTTAGACAAACTACCAAACCGAAAACTATAAATGTAAGAGACCATCCCTTGACTAGAGAAACCCAGAAAATCCAACAACCGACCATTTGCCACGATCTTGCCTCCATCCATCCAGCCTAGAAGATGTCCTCCTTTTGCAAAGGAGGTTCATCTCACAGAATCACAGAATGGTTAGGGTTGGAAGGGACCTCCGTGGGTCATCTAGCCCAATCCCCCTGCCGAAGCAGGGTCACCTACAGCAGGCTGCTTCCCTGCCACTGACGGACTGAGGAAAACACTACCTGTGCCCCTGATCCTCCAACCAATCGCTCCAGTGCCCTGCAGTCCCTTTTGATGGTGTGGTGACTTCTCCCTGCGATCTCATCACTGCCAACCTGCATAACCAACAGTGGGTAATAATCAGAGGGTCAATCGCGACCCCCTGCTGTGGCGGGATGACCTCAGCTGGCTGCCAGACACCCACCCAGCCACGTTCTCGCTCGCCCGTGAGCTTGTCACCTGCTTCACTCCCCGTCCTGTTGAGAAGGATGATTTATTTATTGCCAATTAAAATAGAGTTGGACGGTGACAAAGAAACACTAAAAAGAAAACCACCTCTCTCCCTTTGTCTCAGGCTCAAGTTCACTCCCTCACTCCCAACTCCCCCAGGCCCTCCCACACCCCCCGAGCGATGCAGCAGCGATGGATGGGGGAAATGGGGGCTGCAGTCAGGCCATCACTGCTCCTCGCCGCCACTCCTTCCTCCTCACGCTTTCCACTCGCTCCAGCATGGCGCCTGGCTGCAGGCCTTCGGGGTAACCCTGCTCCAGCGCGGGTCTGCTCCACGGGCTGCAGGGGAATCCCTGCTCCGGGCCGGAGCACCTCCTCCCTGCCTCCTTGTCTGGCCCTGCTGCTCGCACTCTTCCCCCTCACTCCTCACTGCCATGTAACATTTTGCCCCTCTTAAGCACTTCTTTTACACTGACACCACCAGCCTCATGGCCAGGCCCTGCTGGAACCAGCTGTGTCCAGCTGTGTGCCCCGGCCTCGCCTCACAGAGGGCCCTGCAGCCCCCCCTGCCAGCACCGGGGCACGTAAACCCGTTACACTCACTCATCACTTCTTTGCACAAATACCTTCATAACTCTTTTTACATTGCCTGCTCTCTCAAAAAAAGAGAAATATTCGAATTCCCTTAAGCTCTTCCCCGAGATCCTAAATTTCCCTTAAGTTTCGCCTTCCCTGAGATTCATTTATCATGAAGAAATTCACTGAAATCAATCATGATGGAATTTCACCTAATGTCACAGAAAGACATGATAAATGCTAGGGATAATTTTCTTATTTATATTCACAACAGCTACAAATTCATTGTTCCCTTTCCTCTCCAGCTCACTGTATACCAATATCCTCTGCCTACAAGTGCTGTAGGTCTGGGCTTCAGGTCATTTTGGGAGTCCCAACACATTACGTCCAACAAGTAGTAATAACAGTAAAGAAGATACTGGATCCACAAATGTCTAGAATTAACATGGCACATACTCATTAATGATGTTTCAGCTTAGAAAGCTGAACAGTCAATACTTACTAAGCACAGAGCAGAAGATAAATGGTTTCCATGTCAATGCTGACTTTATTTGCTACACAATTTAATCATGCCTTAAAAACTAGGATAATCATCTATGTACACATATACAAAGAAGATATCTTTGTGGATGTCTTTGTAAATATCCAAGACAATATATCAGTTATTATTTCATCAGTAAACTTTCCTTAAGAAACCTGGGGCCGACTCGTACTACACAGTTCAATATATGCCTCAGAAATGACATTTCAAATGTTTATAAATGAAAATGACAATTCACCTTACTGTGTACGTGCTAGGAAAGAACTATGGAGAACAACTGTCACTTCCAAAAGAAAATCCCACGTAAAGCACCTTTAAGTGTTAAGACTTCTATAAATTATATCAGTATTTGGTCATCAGAGATTCCCAAATGCCTCCAAAAACAGAATATCCACTCAAACAAGGGACAGCATATTTCAGCATACACATGCCATTTCAAGAGGTTACTGAGGTAAAATACTACATAGAGCCCCTTCTTTAAGGGGTGATACTGTTTTGCAAAGATGCTGGATACCACAGTTACAGTGATGTTACTTGTGGACGCACTTGAAAATTGGACCAAGAACTGCATTTGCTGTACCATCACATAACCGATTGCACTGATAAACACCCTTCCTTTCAGAAAGAGAAAAGAGAATTAAAGGAGAAAATCAATGTTTTATCCTTTTTGGTTTTGGACAGTTCTGTCTCTGCACATTCAATCACACTTGACAGAGATTTCATTTTACTGCAACTTCACAGGCTGTAATGAAAGTAAATGCCCACAATCTTACGAGAGAAAGCAAATAAGAAATGTCATGGCTGAACAAGTAGCCCACTAGCCATTGACATACTATGATTAGATCACAGATTCTGTCATATTTTCTAACAGGAAGACTATAGTAGACTGGACTAAACAAGCTCTAAAGTTATCGTATCTGGAAATTCACTTGGAGTCAGACTCTACAAATCCTAGTTGAAGGGAAACTATATGAAAATACAGATTGCAGTTCATAAAATATGCTGGCTACCAATGATGATTCAAACAAAAGCTCTTCAAAATAAAGGTTTGATCTTCCTGAAGAACAGTAAGATAACAAAATATTGTTAACTGTATGTGAGAGTGCCTGTCTTCATCTACCTACACCCATCCCTTCATGTACATACATATCTACATACAACCAAACCCCACCATTCCAACACACGCAGCACAGGCAGCGCAAAGAGGTCAGATGGGCCTGCCCATTATTTCTCCAAAATGCACATATCCTAGTAGTTTATTTTCTTCCAGAAGGTAAATGTTTTGAGTGTATCTTCACATACAGTCTCTTTCCACAGATTATAAAGGAAGAGTTGGGGACAGCAAGGTGAAATCCACTAAGAGCTAACCTGAAATACCAGAGCTTTTTCCAAACAACCTGTTGCTACAACAGGGACAGGTTGCAGCAGAGGAGCATTAACACCCAGCACTTTCTGCCGTGGTCAAACGGGCACCCTGCGAGGCAGGAGGGAGAAAGCCCAGCAGGACACCAGACCAGCACATCCTGGGGCTTCTGGGGCCTGGACTGGCCATTTCAGAACTCAGCATAATGCAGCACTGCTCACATACAGCTTCAGAAGCATTTTCATATCAACATAAAAGGGTTATTCTAGAGCAAAAAACCCCTCTCTTACCCGCTCTTAGCTTTGCTGTAGTAGTCTGGTAACTGCTTGGTGACAGCTCCAGTATTTCTACTTAGTATTTAGTGGATTCTTTCCTTCCATCCCCAGTTGAATCTCCCACCCACCCAAATAGTTTTATGCCACATTCCTTGAAATTTAACGTATCTTCTCCCCATCTACATACCAATCCAAAATTAATATTGTGATAATAAGAACTAGAATGATCTATTTCAATTGTCACCGTCATTTAGTGCATGCAACGCCTTCCCCTCATCGGGTATCTCAGCACCAAACCACCTGGAATGTACTTGTGACTACTCTCCATCAGGCAGTCTGACTCTTAACCATTTCATGCTTCTTACATCACTTACTACTGTACATATAGTCAGAGTTCGATGAAAGCCTGAAATAAATCATTTGCAAGAACATACTCGCAGATGTTTTCAAGTTATGTGCTGAAATCAAAATAAATACATATTCATCCATATTCATAAAAATACTTTATTTTTTAATTAATATTGATAAAAAATTTGATCACAGTTTTTCAAAGCTGATGGAAGATAACTGTAAATAAAGACAAAGAGAGTTTTGATTCAATGTATAGTGGTTTCCACAGCACTTGCTCTTCCTGAATTATACCATCAATCCTTTAAGTTTCCTTTTCTACAGTTTTACTGCAAAGGGTTAGTTCTCTCTCTCATGTGGCTTCGATTATTTCATTATTTACTACTTCCTCACTTTCTAGACATCCGGACTGTGGACAAGCCTAACAATTTCTAATACAAAGGTGACATGATTCTGCACCTGCCTTATCACAGTGTTGTTTGGGCTCCACCAATCTAAAGTTTAGCCTTAAATTGAAAGCAATCTGGACATCACCTCATGCTTTCACCCCTCTTCTCTGTGGCATACTTCTACACTCCTCTATGCCTATTCTCTTCCAAACTCCTGAGTTTCAGTGGACTTCTAATACAGAACAGTGCTATTTCTGGTTATCAGGATATTTTTTAGTATCGAATGCCAGTGACAGCCTTTCTGTGTAGGTTTGCATGCAAAATTATCTCTACCTTTTAGCAGCTAGGTCAGTTTGAATACCGAAAAAAAAAAGCTCTGTAATTGGCATTGCTTATAAAAGAGGGGGAAAAAAAATCAGCTGTTTTGTTACTGCAATGTAGCTCAACAATGACAAAGTACATACTAGTG